GGGGGGGGGGGGCGATGAGACGTGTGTACACGTTGACCTGCGAGAGACCTGAACGAGGCCTTGGAGCTCATCTCCCAGCTGCGCGAAGAAAACAAGGACCTGACAGCCCACAACCTCGATCTCGAACAACGCGTCATCACAACACGCCAAGTGGGTGCCTTGTGTGTGTGTGTGTGTCTGTCTGTCTGTCTGTCTGTCTGTCTGTCTGTCTGTCTGTCTGTCTGTCTGCGACGGGCTACTTCATTGCCTGTCTGCTTCGCCGTCTGTCTGCTTCCCTGTGTGGCTGCTTCACTGTCGCCTGCTCCCCTCCTTCTGTCTCCCCTCCCTCTGTTGTTGTCTCTCGATCTCCATCCCGTTTCGCGTTGTGTTCTTTGCTGACGCGCGGAGAGCCCTCATACCCTTCATCCACGCCTTGCAGGAATACGAAGAGCTGGAAGTGTCGCTGGAACAAACAAGCCTGGAACTGGCACAAATCAAGCAGGAGGCAGCGACTGGCGATGAAGAGGCACGCAAACGCATCAGCGCTCAGGCCCAGGAGATTCAACGACTTAACCAACTGGTTCGTTGACTATGGCTGCCCGTATGCTCCGTGTGCTTTGGAACATTGTGAGCGCAATTCGCCATCCAACATCCAAAACACCAATGCACGCGTATGCTTGTTTACACGTACACACGTGCGCACACCCATACATACGCACGCACATGCACACACTTACATAAACACACACATATCAACACCACCTGCGTGTGACAGATGATCCATCCTGAAAAGCACGAGGAGGCCTTGAGCAAGCTTGCACTGCAGTTTCGACAGGAACAAGAAGACCACACATCACTGCTTAAACAAGATATTGAGCAGTACCGTGCAGCATACTACGACCTCAAAGGTGATAGCCAGTCAACCGCCCAGCAAATCGAGTGTGTGTCTCCTGAATGCACACCAGAATGTCCAATCACAAACAGCCTGATGCACTGCAACATTTCGCTCATCATCATCATCATCATCATCATCATCATCATCATCATCATGCTCTGCAGAGGAAACGGAGAGGCTGGCAAAGGAACTTCGACAAACTCGGAGCAACCACGTTGCTTACTTGCAGGAGATGGAGGCCGCACATGCTGCTGAAGTAGACAACTTGAACAGAAAACTCAAGGCTGCGCAGGTGAGAGCATGCGTGGTTTGCGTGAAACCGAGGACTTGCCCACAAGTGTCTCGAACAAGTACTCGCGTGCACACCTGTGTGCCTCACAAGAGATACTGCAAAGCTGCTACAACCTTTGTGCTCACTCGCACTCATGCCACAACAACAACACACCCCCATCGCAAACACACAATGCACAAACTCACGCATTCAAACTCGCGCACACAAACACAGGCTGAGCTTGACAACAGCCCGCTCACCGCTGAAGTGCGACGACTCAAGCTGCAAGTGAGCGAACTCACAATGAAGCTGACAAACACCAAAGAAGAGAGCGAAAACCACCGCCGCTCCGTCATCTCCCTTCGCGTCGAGCTCGAGCAGGTGGGCTCGCACGTGTGTGTGTGTGTGTGTGTGTGTGTGTGTGTGTGTGTGTGTGTGTGTGTGTGCGTGCATGCGTGTGTGTTCGTGTGTGTGTATGTGCATGTTCGTGTGTGTATGTGCATGTGTGTGTGTTCGTGTGTGTGTATGTTCGCATGTACGTGTGTGTGTGTTTGTTTGCTTTGGGTCTTTGGTGTTTCGTAAGCTCCTGTGCGTGCACCTGTGTTTCTGCGTGTGTGGCTCCGTGGATGACTGTATCCACACGCGGTTGTCGTATGAGTGGCTAATTGCACATTGCATGTGCTCGTGGTGTTTAGGCAAACCAACGTGTTGTGCTGCTTGAAACGGAGTTGGCAACAAGCTCCGTGTCACTGGACTCACAAAAGCAAGGCTACAACCAACAGGTGTGTGTGTGTGTGTTTTGCGTGTGTGTGTGTGTGTGTGTTTGTGGGTGTTTTTTTTTTGTGTGTGTGTGTGCTGTGAGAGTGGCAGAGAATAGTTCTTCTGCTTGGGAGACTGTGAGGTTGACTGATTCTGCCACTCACCTAATGTACTGTGACCTCGACTCTGTCTGTCAAACCGTTAGCTTGAGCAACTCAAGACACGCCACACAGAGCTTGCGCATCAAATTGACACCCTGAAGCAGGCAAACGATGCGGTATGTGCGCACTTGCACGTCACTCGATTGTGTCCCATGTGCTTGCAGTAAACCCTTGCAATGCAGCGGAGTCGTGAGGACACTCGTGGTCCTCACACCTATCCTGCCGACTGTGCCAACACATTGCTTGTGTTCATTCGCACATCAGGCAAAGCAGACGTTTGCAACTGAGCGGGCCCACCTCGAGGACACCATTCGCCAGCTCAAGAACGAACTCTCGACGGCAAGGCTGAGGTCAAAAAGCAAGCCCCATGTCGTGTGTCCGTGTGTGTGTGTGTGTGTGTTTGTGTTTGTGTGTGTTTGTGTGTGTGTGTGTGTGTGTGTGTTTGTGTGTGTGTGTGTATTTGTGTGTGTGTGTGTACAAAGATAGCAGCGTAGGTGATTGGTGGCATGTGCTTTATTTTGGCTTGATGTTGGTGCTGACACGACATTGTCCATGACATCATCTCTCGTCTCGCTGTTTCAGTGCGAGCAAGACGGCTTCGGAACACGAGCAAGAAGCTCAGGTGAGGAAATTCATGCATTGCACACGCAAGCACGAGAGCTAGCGTTCGATGGCATGTTTCATGGTGGTGTGAAAGCTCTCGTGTTGTACTGAACGCCATCTACGGTCTCGCGCTGCCTTGTTGGTCCCGCGCTGCCTGTTGTCTCACACGTTCTTTCCTATTGGTTCATGCTTGCAGGCACTGAAGCAGCAGATTCATGAGTTCAAAACGCGGGAGCGCGTCCACCAGGAAAACGTGAAGCAGCTCGAGCAAAGCCTTCTCGAAGCTGTACGTTGTGGCCTTGTGTGTGCGTGTGTGTGCGTGTGCATGTTTGAGTTTACATGTGTGGGTTTACATGTGTGCGCACATGGGTTTGTACAAACGTTTCTGTGTGCTGTGTGCGTATATGTTTTGCTCTGTCTGGTGCAGCCGCCCCTCCCCAATGCAGCACCGATGATGCAACCCCTCTCACACTTGCTCGGCGTTGTTCTTGTGTGACGCAGGAGCACAGCACAGCTGCGAGCGTGCACGCTGCACGGGAGGAGGAGTGGCAACGCGTGCGTGCCCTCAGCGAGGCCAAGATGAAATTGGAACAAGACCTTGCCCTTGTCAAACAGTACGTACATCACTGTGATTGTAGACGACTGACTTTGCCCGGCTGTCAAACACCCACATGAATATGTGCGTGTGTGTGTTTGCATGTGTGTGCATATTTAAACGCACACGCGCACGCGCATACATGCGCATCGCGGTCGGTAAGAGAGTTCTTGGCCGTTTCGTCGGGCATGTCGCTTCACAGGCTCATGTCCATGCGCACACGTAGTCACGCTTCTCTCACGAAAACATGCACACGTTCACGCGACGTGCTTGTGGTGTTGGGGTGCGCAGAGAGCTTGAGCAGTGCCAGACAACGTCGGCGGCAGAGCTGCGGCAGTTGCGACAGCAGCACGACGATTTGCTGATTCAGCACGAAACGGCTGAACGGGAGGTGGCGGCGAAGACAAAGCAGATCCGCGGCCTTGAGCAGAAGTTGCAGCGCTTGCAACACATGGAGGACGTTGCGGATGATCTGAAGCAGGAGCTGGCAGACACGCAGGCCCAGCTCACGTCACTTCAACAGCAGCATCTCCAAGTCACGGTGGGTGCACTCTAAGACGTGCACCGTGTGCAATAATTTCACCCTCTCTGCTTCAGTGTTTCACTCACCTGCACCTGCCTCCACGTGCTCGGGACAAGAATGAGCGTGCACATGTGCAAGCACATTCAGCCACTCGCTCACTCTCACCCACTCGCTCGCCACTACCCATTCGCCCTCACTCACTCTCGCCCTCGCTCACTCTTGCCCTCGCTGTACACACGCCCACGTGTGCACATGCATGCCCGAACAGCGCGAGCGGGAGCGCGCTGGTGGGGAAGTGGAGCACCTTGCACAGCAGGTAGCGCGCCTGCGCGAACACGTTGAACACCAGCAGACAGAACACAACAACCACGTGGACGCATTGACGTCACAGCACCGGGCAGAGGTCCAAAGGCTCGACGCAGGAAACAGGAGGTTGTCCAAAGATTTGAAGGTGTGTTCTGCGCCTGGGTATGTGGCGCGGATTTCTGCATGAAGCCAGCCGACGTTTCCTGCTGGGCACTTGAGAAAATGTGTCAGAGTTGCATTCATTTCACCTGCAATTCTGCTGTCATGCATGGACACAGGTGGTGCAAGCCAAGTTTGCGGAGCTGAGCGAAGCCGCAAAGGTTTTCAAGGTGCGTGCTTGTATGAGTGTGTGTGTGTGTGTGTGTGTCTATCTGTCTGTCTGTCTGTCTGTCTGTTTATGCTTGTGTGGGTACGATTTTGTATACACTACGTGTGCGTTGCTGATATGTCAGTGTGTTTGTGTTGTGTTGTTGTGTATGTACATGTGTTTGTGCATGTGCACGCTCGCGCTTGCGTGGCGAGTATGGGTGGCAGTTCCTCGTAGGTTTTGCATCTGCCTGATTGTGTGCGCTCCCGGCTTTGTATTTGCAGGCAAAGGCTAAAACATCCAAGCAACGATCATCTGACGAGATCCGGCAGATGCGCGAGCGATTGGCTGCTGTGGTGCGTTCGTGAAAGCACGCATTGGCGCGTGAATTTGCTCGTGTGCGCTGTCCTCTTGTTGTGTTGTTTGGGCTTTTGCATGGACCTGAATTTGCACTCAGTGCAACCCGGTTCGTGCGTACATGTGGAGGGTGGTGTTCTTGTGGTGTTGTACTCACGCGCATGGTGCACATCATTGTTGCATACGCGCATGTGCAGGAGGAGGCGCTTGATTCGCAAAAAGCAGAAACGCTGGCGTGGAAGAAGAAGTATTGCAACTTGAAGGTGAGCAAACGCGCGTGTGGTGCTTGGGGTTTCTCCTGGTGTACGCATGCATGGGCTCATCTTCCTCCTTGCTGTTTTTGCATTTTGGCAGTCGCGTGCGCTCAGCTTCAAGGAGGTGGTCACGAAGCACGACCAGCGCGTCAGCGCACAGATTCTTCAGGTGAGTTGGTTGGTCAATGTGTCCTGTGTTGTAACGGTGCAAAGTGGTGAACCCGCTGCACGGTTCTGTCGTGTGGTTTCGCCGACTTTGCTGTGGCCATTTCCGTGACATCGGTGACTGCCCTCTGACATTGCGCGCATTGTCACTGCCGTGTTTTGTGTCTGGCATTCGTGCGTGTCTCCTGCAGGGTCCACATCCCATTCCTGCGCGGGAAGGACAGGACAAGGCAGACGTACGTGTGTGTGTGTGTGTGTGTGTCTGTGTGTCTGTGTGTCTGTGTGTCTGTGTGTCTGTGTGTCTGTGTGTGTGTCTGTGTCTGTGTGTCTGCGTGTGTGTCTATGTGTCTGTGTGTGTGTGTGTGTGTGTGTGTGTGTGCGTGTGTGTGTGTGTCCGCGTGTGCGTGTGTGTGACTGTGTGCGTGTCTGTGTGTGTCTGTCTGTGTGTGTCTGTGTCCATTTGTGTGCTGCTGTGCTAACTCGGTGCTTCGACCGCCGCAGATTGTTATAGTTTGTGTCCTCTGACACCAGACTCACGTGTGATGAATTCCAACTTATTCTGCGCATGTTCACATTCCCAAATTAATTCAGGAGGGCCACCTTGTGAACTTGCGGGACATCTACCATCGACTCAGCATGTGGCGCGACGACGACGGTACGTGATGGTCCGTGGTGACCTGCTGCTCGTGGTTGGGTGGTGGCGGCGGACGAGTAGGAGTGCACGCCTGCGTCGCTGCGTGGTGTAGTGTCGCGTGTGTGGTTGCGCGTGTGGGTCGATGTTTGCGGAAGTCTATGTGATTTTGCGGTTTTCAAAGGCTCATGCTCGGGTTCTAATGTCACGCAATCACACCTGACATCATGGTTGTCTCCCAGGACGGCCGTTGCCGCCACTGCATGACAACGATGAGTGACTTCGTGCTCGTACAGTCCATTGATTTGATCCCCGACCACATTTGCCTCTTCTTTCTTTGTTTTTTTTTTTTTTTTTTTTTGTTATTTCCCTGCTATGTGCGTTGGTGCTGTCAACCAGTCAACCCGCTTGGTGTGCAGCGCTGTGGTCGTGTCATGCGTGCTGCGCCGGACGCAGCTAGAAGAAGAGAAGGGGCAATCGTTCTGTTGTTGTACTGTAAATTGATACACTCGGCCGCAAACCAACAGAAAAGCAAAAGGGCGGGCGTCGCCTTCTTGTTTGCTGCACCCCATGCCCTTCTTCGTTTGTTGTTGCTGCGTGCTGTCCAGATGTAAAAGATGCTTCCCACCAATAAGTGCTGTGTGTCCCGTAACATGGTGCTGTTGCCTCGGTTCACTTCACCTCACTACATTGCTGGGGGTTACACTTACATTACAATTACAGTACCTCCCACACCTGGCACTGGCCACTGCCACGAGCATGTTGAGAAGCAGAAGAATAAACAAAAAAAAAAAACAAAAAAAAAAAAAACACCTTAACACGCAAAGGTGCAAGATCACAGACAAGTGGACCCACATCTCCTACGTCTCGCACACCAACATGCCACACGAAAGAAACACAGCACACAGATACACAAACACTTCAAATGAATGTGTTTATTCTGTCGGGGTGTCCTTGGTCCAGTCACCATCTTGGTAGTTTGGAGGGATGCACGGCACCTCCTTGCCATCCACTTCCATGGTGCCCTCAAAGAGCTTGTCAAGCTCGCGCTCCAAGGCAGCATTTGTGCCGCGCACTTGGTTGATGACCTCGCGCGACCACCCAAAGTATGCCTGCGCACGCTTCACGCTCCAGTGCTTAGGAAGCTGCCGCTTCAGATCTCGCAAGTTGTACAACTTGTCGGCAAGCTTGACCAGCTTACCGCGCCGCGATGCGCTGGCAGCGTGCTCAATCTGCTGCAGCTTCCGCTCGTGCTTGTTGAGGCCCTTGTCATCGCTGACTTCAGCCACGACCTGCGCGACCTCTGGTCCAAACTCGTCCTTCAACTGCTCCAGTGTCACATCAGTGTCCTCCACGGTATCGTGCCTGGGCACACACACCACACACACGCACACGCACACGCACGCACACACACACACACACACACACACACACACACACACGAGCGAGATAGATGGTCACTTGGTATGAGCATGGTCACAACACAACTTCAGGGCGTGGAAAGGCATTCTGGCATTACACGTGCATGGGTTTGAGCACGGAGCAACAGCGTGAAACTGAGCAAACTCAGGCAAAATCGCAGAGGTGTCGTGTGTCTCCAACACACGTACAGGAGCGCGGCTTGCAACACCACGATGTCATCCTCGCCTCCGACGTTGGCAATGAGGTCCGCAACACCTGCGTTACATTGTACCTCGATTAGTATCATGTGCACACACACGACTTCAAGCCAATGAAGACTGAAAGAACTTGCAGGGCAAACGCCGATCACTGGCTCGAATCATCCAGCCAAGCCAAACAGTCACAGGTATCCAACAATGTCATCACTGTGGCCCAACACAGCCGTTTGTCCCTTTTTCATCGTCTCATAGTCGACAGACACGAGTCGCCAGCTTGACAGCCTGACAGCGCTCGAGTCGAGCACTTGACGACACAACACAAACAGCTGACAAGCTCCAAAGCAAGACCAACACACACACACACACACACACACCAATGGGGTGGTTGATGTACGGAGTGCCTTCTGGGTCTTTGCGACGCTGCTTGCGATGGGCGTGCGCCGCAAAGCTCGCAGTGCGCAGCAACAGCGCGGAGTTCATGACGAGGACGACGACGAGAGGACGAGCGTGGGAGGCAAGCAAAAAGTCAAAACTTTGCTATTGCTCAACAGAACAAGTTGGGAGATTTGTGCGATATCTTTCAGGATTCCTCGAAGCCCAAGAGGTGAGCACTGCTGTTTGTGTTTGTGTTCGTGTTGTTCAGTGCTCCGCTTGCTTGCCTTGCTGTTCGAGCCAAGCAGCCAAGCAAGCTTCGTCGGTGCTGGACTTTTCATTCACCACGACCTCATGCATTTCGTGGGATACCATCTCAATCCTGGACGTGTGGTGCATCATCAGCAAGCGAAGAATGGAAGTCAAGTCGCAGGTTCTGGAAACCCCTCCGCTAGAGGATGTGGCCAAGGGTGTGTGCGCGCGTGTGTGGTTGTGTGTGTGCGCGCGTGTGCGCGCGTGTGTGGTTGTGCGTGTATGTGTGCGCGCGTGTGTGGTTGTGTGTGGTTGTGTGTGGTTGTGTGTGGTTGTGTGTGTGTGTGTGTGTGTGTGTCTTGTGCTGCTCGCATTTGCGTTGCGCGAAGCCATCCCTTGTTGGTAGTAGTCACCGGTCGCACGCTCACACAACGTACCCACACAGCGCTTGAGACGGGGCTCAAGGGCTGCTTTGAGCAAGCGAGCGTGTCCGTCGTCGACTGCCCAGATCTGACCGCAGAACCTTACCACCTCGCTGCACCCGGTACGGCAGTAAGCAGAGAAGGAGGAATGACATGTGCGCAACAAATGCGTGTGCATGTGTGTGAAAGACAAAGAAGAGAACATACACAGCGAGCGTTTGCCTGTGTGGATTGCGTGCACCCCAACATACGCACACACACACACACACATATGTACACACACACACACACACGCACACACAGGCACACACACACACACCCTTGTAAAATCCGAGAGATCGGCAGCTGTCTGACCTAACCATGTACGCGCGATCACCCCCCTTCCCCACCCCAACGTTCGCCATGCAGGCATCTCAGGCTCTACACGGCTTGTAGACGTCGGCGGCGTGCCAAACCTCATGCCACTTGTGGACCGATCGAAGGTGTACAACTTCAAACAAGTGGCCAAGGACATCGGGCTGCCTGGCGCCTTTTTCATCGGTGCTGGTGCCGGCTCCTCTCGTCTGGCCGGCGTCAACTGTGAGGTAAGCCACCCTTTCCTTGCACTGGTGCACTGGACACTGTCCCGAGCCTCAAACCGCTCGCTCCTTTGCGACCACCACCGCTGTGTAGTCAGTCCATCGTTGCATACCTCACCGAGCTGGACACCCATAAGGCCCCGTCCATGGCCTGCTTTGCCTCCCTTCGTCACCTCACCCCTTCACACGGGAACACGCCTTCCTCCCCATCGTGTTTGCCCTGCCTCCCTCTGTCTGGATCCTTTCCCAGATGATGCCCAACACCAACATTGCAACGCAGGAAATCCGTTCATACTTTGCCAAAGTCCGGCCCGAGGTAAGGCTCGATTGTGGGTTGTAGCGAGCGTGTGCCGCGCTGTGGCGTGTTATGCTGCATTGTGGCGAAGTTGCTTTGCTCTGCGCCATGTTGCGTTGCACGTGTACTCCACCCAGAGACCGATGCTGTTCCCTTATCCCCATAACATCCTGTTTTTTTTTTGTTTTGTTTTGCATCGCCCTCTCGGCCCGTGATCGAGGCAGACTGGCGACATGGTGCTGGAGCACTACGAGTCAAACGAGTTTGGCTTGCTGGGCAACTTTCTTGCCAGCGAAGGCAAGCAGGGCGCAGTGCTGCGTGTTGAAGCATCCGTACGCACGGGGGACGACAACTTTGTCACGTGCATGCGTCAATCACTTCAAGCAGCGTTTGGCGACAAGGTGTGCGGATCGTTGTTGTATGCATGTGCGAGTGCTGCGTGTGCATGCGCGTGTGTGTTGCATGTGCATGTGCATGTGCATGTGCATACTTGTGTGTGCGCATGCCTGTGCATATTTGTGTGTGTGTGTGTGTGCGTATGCATATTTGTGTGTGTGTGTTTGTGTGACCGCAAGCTCGTGTGTGCATGAGCGGCTTGCGATCTTTTCTTGCTGTGTGTCTACTTGTACGCGTGTTGTGTGTCTGTGGCGGTGGCTTGCTTGCTGGGTGTGTCGACACTGTACCGCGCAGTCTTCCGCTCATGTCGCCTTGTCACAACATTGTGCTGTGATCCTTTGCTGCAACAGCCCGTCGGCCTCGGCGGCGTGTTTGTCATTGAGGCTGGCGATGCGAAACTGCATGTCATGGTGCGTGGTGTTCATTGCGCGGCCAATGGTGACGCCGTGTGTTCCTGCACACAATGCACATACACGACACGCGCACGACACACGCCACACAGATACACACACACACACACACAGACACACACACACACAGACGCAGACACACACACACACACAGGGGGGAGACAGACAGACACACACACAGCCTTCTTTCAGCCCGCTCTTGACCATTGCC